TATATATATACACACATCTTTTTTAAAATAGCTGTTTTATTACATTTGGGTAAGTGTGCAGCACAATGTGGCCCTCTGGTAGTGTCAACAAAAAGATTGTGTCYCCTTCCATCATTTAAGTTGCCCATCCCTGGTGTAAAGGTTTAGCATTTAAATGAAGCACTATGACATTTTATTAGACTAGATTTGCCATCATTTTTTAAAAAAATTGCTACTCAAAATGCAGCAGCACAACTCACTTGACGCTTAATTGCAAACACTCAGAATTCAGTGAGACCTCAACTGAAATTTTGTCTAATTTCCCATAATTTTTGATCTCCAACTGGTCTAGAATGATCACATCTCTGTGAGAGACTACCCTTACAGTCATGACTTGAGTTTTGATTTGCTCTTGCATTTTAGCCGTTTCCTTTTTATTCAGCGATCATTTCTCTCAGTGTCGCGCCTGCATGGAGTCATCTCTCTTTTTTTTTTTTTTTGTTTGGCAGGTATGCTTCCAGTAATCTCCACTCGCCCGCTTGTGAACTTTGACCTAACTCTCAGTCCCGACGGAACCCGAATCGGGAACCACCGCTGCTCCAACTTGCTCGACTTCAATGAGGTCAACACGGGTCACGGCTTCCTCACCGCTTCAACGCGCAGCCCCGAGAGCRCCGGAGACTCCGAGCCCTATCAGTTCAGCGGCCCTCTGCGGGGAAACGRCACGCTGCGCTTCTACAGGAACCTCAACCTAGAAGCGTGCCTCTGGGAGTTTACCAGCTACTACCACATGTCTGAGCTGCTTGCTGACTGTGGAGGAACCATAGGGACAGACGGACAGGTGTGTGTGTGTGTGTGTGGTGGAACCTTTGACCAAAACATAAAAATTCCAATCTTGGTTTTGTATTTACACCTGTTRGAGTGTTTGCTTTGTGTGAATTTGTGACCCTCGCTGTGTTGCTGTCTATTTGCTCAGCTTGTTTACAGTTGTCTGAGTGAGGACGCACAGACAGAGYGGCACCATATCTGCCTGTACTCACTGCATTTTTGTGTGTTCACCGTCTCCGTAGACAAGCTTGTGATAAACAACTTTTCATGCAAAAGCACATGGAAACACACCTTCAAACAAAACAAGTCCCACCTACCAGATATGGTACAAATTCTTCCCACAGCCTGTATTTACATGGAACCTTTGAGAACTGGAAATGAGAGATGGAGGCTAATAATTCAGCTAACATCAGCTTGTCAGGTTCTCAGTTACAAAAAGCTATGTATCATAGAAGGAACAATATTCTGATTAGTTACTGTAAAATTGTAAATAAACCAATTTTGGCAATAATTTAGTTTGCCACTTGAGTGCATCTTGTGGAGTTTATGTAAGAAGAAGTCAGTTATTCCTTCTTATTTTTCTTATAAAGAAACAACTGGGTTTCTAAGTACATAACAYTCAGTCAAGCTTAACAGTCTCCTATAACTTCAGGTCTCTAAGTGAAAAGCACATATTTCTATTAAAAAACTGCCTATGGTGTCATTAATCAAGCTGGTCATAGTAAAATTATATTCAAAATGTACTCCACAATCATTTTTTWAAATCATTATTTTAAAACAAAAGTTTTACTCTGTAATTATACTGAAATTATTTTAAGTACTTGTGAATAAATTGAGATTTATCTTAAATATCAAAAATTTGGCATGAGTACCGCCACAGATCGTTAACTTGTTGACTTGTGTTCTCTCAACCTCATTTATATCAGTGTGTTAAAATAAAATTAACTATATTTTTTTTTATTTTAGGCATTATTAAATTATTAGGCCATGAATATAATCATAGGCAACATGTCATATTATTTACGCAACAGTAAAAGTGATTTTTTATTCCTTTTATTAAATGAAAGCAAATGATACATGTTTTAATTATATATAATTCTTCATTTTAAAATTGTTAAACTGTGGTATTTTTGCTTAAGATTATCTTACCATCAATCTCGTGTTTAAATGTGCCATTTTTTATTATACCTGCATTCCTGAATATCAACACTAACATTTCTGTCACCAAAGCATTTGGACAGTGATGCAAAGTTCCTGCAACCATTTTTCACTTCCTGTTTACTGTTGTTGCATCAAAGTAGTGGTTGTTATATTCTTTCTTCACATTGCTGCATTTCTTACACTGTGTCCTGCTGCTACCCTGGGTCAGTATTCAGACCCGTACTTCTTTGCTTAAGCCCTGCTGCTATTTTGTCTTCCTGCAGCCTTTGATCTATGGGCTGCTTTTTGCTGATCAGACTGATGAATGTATGTGATTTTATTTGTTCGTGAACATGTGTGTGGTGGGTTTATGTGTATGTGTGTGTGTGTGTGTATGTGAGTGAAAGAGAAGAAGCAACAAAGGGAAAATAATTGTTACTAGGTGCAGCGTGTACCACTTGCACATTAGTTACTCTTGATGCTCATCATCCATCAGGACCTCAAGTCGTATTTGTTGTGGATGATCACTGCCACTTAAGAGGTTATTTATTCTTCTTATGTTCAAAAAGTGCTGAAAAGAAAAAAAAACAAGGCAGGTCCTACCTTGGAGCTCCAGCTGGGTGCTCAATTCAAACGAGCTGAATCATTATTTTCTAGACAAACACTGAAGGTTGAGTTTAGCTTCCAATTTGTGAAGCGTTTTAGCAATATATATTTGTTCATCGTGACATTGAGCAACAAGCCCATGCACTATTACTATTTTAAAATTCAACAACATTTGTATCCTTACTCTCATAGATCTCGTGATATTTTTTCAGGAATTCTTTTTCTACTAAAATCACAACTTTGCAAAGCCTCAGCACCAGTGTGTTATTGTTGTAACTGAACATATTTGATTGATGTGTTTGAAAATCGCTCTCAGTTTTGCGCTGTAAACAATCTACTAATCCACTGCTAATTAGTTTTTTTTTCGTTTCTCCTTGAGTTTAATAACTAACTAAATAAAAAAGATGTTCATGTAGAAGTCAAACAACTTAGTCCAAAAACTGTTGGTGAGCAGTGACACCTAGTGGTGACTATTAGAAACTACAATTTAGACTTTGCACTGTTTTGACATGGATGGATGGATGGATGGATGGATGGATGGATGGATGGATGGATGGATGGATAGATAGATAGATAGATAGATAGATAGATAGATAGATAGATAG